TCAAAAGTGTTTCCATGTCAGATTTTGCCATATCACTTTATTCACTTGTTTCACTATATTCTCCAAGTATAAAAGACTCATCTAGCTCCTCCATTTACATTAATTGTATTTAATATAATTGTTTTAACAGTTATTTTAGATTATTAGATTAGATTAGATTCAACTTTATTGTCATTGTGCAGAGTACAAGTACAGAGCCAATGAAATGCAGTTAGCATCTAACCAGAAGTGCAAATATGTATATAAATAAATATAATATATACATGTATATATGTATGTACTGTATATACAATAGATTTTTATGGGGTGCAAAGTTTGAGGTACAGATGCAGAGACCAGCTCTATGCAAGGGGTTGTATATATAAGGTACAAAAGCGGAGGTATAAACACAGTAGATGCATTATAAGTATAGAAATACTTAAAAAGTCAAAAGTTTGGGATCAGAATGATTTTTAATGTTTTTAAAGGAGTTTCTTATGCTCATCAAGGCTGCATTTATTTGATCAAACATACAGGAAAAAATGTAATATTGTGAAATATTATTATGATGTAAAATAACCTTTATTCCTATGATGCAAAGCTGAATTTTCAGCATCATTACTCCAGTCTTCAGTGTCACATGATCCTTCAGAAATCATTCTAATTTGCTGATTTATTATCAGTGCTGGAAACTGTTGTGTTGCTTAATAATTTTTTGGAACCTGAACCTAAAAAGTTAAAAAGAAGAGCATTTATTTAAAATAGAAATCTTTTCTAACAATATACACCACCGTTCAAAAGTTTGGGGTCAGTACATTTTTATTCTTTCTTTTTTTGAAAGAAATTAAAACTTTTATTCAGCAAGGATGTGTTAAATTGTTAAGAAGTGATAGCAAAGATTTATATTGTTAGAAAAGATTTATATTTTGAATAAATGCCGTTAACTTTTTATTCATCAAAGAATCCTGAAAAAATTATCGCAGTTTCCAAAAAAATATTTGGCAGCACAACATTGATAATTCTAATAATAAATCTGCATATTAGATTTCTTAAGAATCATGTGACACTTTATACTGGAGTAACGGCTGATGGAAATTCAGCTTTGCATCACAGAAATAAATTATATTTTAAAGGATATTAAAACAGAAACCATTATTTTATACTGTTATAACATTTTGCAAGATTACTGTTTTTTTTTTCTTTATTTTTGATCAAATAAATGTAGCCTTGATGAGCATAAGAGACTTATTTAAAAAACATTACAAGTCTTACTGAACCCATACTTTTGAACGGCAGTGTATATATGCTATACATATACGGTGCAAATGGCATTATGAGGTAGAAATGCAAAGGAATGTGCAAAACAAGAGGCATAATAATAAACATAAACAAATGTGCAGTGGGGACAGATTATATATATATATATATATATATATATAAATATATATATATATATAATATTTATAAGATTGTATATTGTAGTTTATATAATACATGTATCCCTACCTTTGCACACATCTTCGACCACTTTTGTGATATTAAAATAAAACCTTTTCCCCCCTCCATCTACAACTGATTTAATCGTGTTTGGCTAAATAGTTCCTTTGTGAATGTGTGTTGCCTTGAGCAAAAGTATATTTCCCTGCGTGACCTGTTCACAAAATTTGCTAAGGAAGTCTTCCTTCTCATATCTGCTAGTTAAATAGCAGCATTTATAAGCAAAACTTCCTCTTCAATTTTTACAGTTTGAATTTTTTTTTTTTTGTGCGAGTTGTTTTATGCTTCTAAAATAGGAATAATAATAATAATCTGATCAGAATTCGCTGGTTATTCTTAGAATGATATTTTTAGGGTCACTAAACACTAAACTGTCTGTCAAAATGTAGTGATTTATCTACAGTAAATCCATCCTGTACAATAGACCAGATATTGAACTTTTAACTTGTTTAAAGGAGACTAAAATGAAGAAAGAATTGTGCGAGGCCAGCTCTAAAAATTTTGCTTCCCTAATAGAACATTTATATTTCCTTCCTGATCAATATCATCACTTTAAGGGGAACGACCACCTCCTCCAAATTTAAGGCGAGTGTGATTCAAAAGTGCTCTGTTAAAACTCGGTCCGATCCAAACTCAATAACCGACACGGCGCGATTTGCAAGACCTTGTCCAGTCATCATGTTCATGGCAGGCATGTCTCCAGACGTGGCCCTTAATGTTGCTTGGCCCCTATGATTGAGTTTTCACCACTTTTTAGGTTGCACCTGACACTTGGTCATTCATCTCATTTGTAAAGATTATCGGTTAGAACAGGGAGCACTTTCCGTGCATTAGCAATTTTAGCCTTACAAGAAACACTAGAAAATAATGGTTGATTAACAAAGAGTATTTACTGGTATTCAGCAAAGAAACATGCACCCACCTTTTTAATTTGAGTTAATATTTTGCTTGCCAAACCAAATGTGCCTTGTACTGACATGCAGTGATACAGCTCTCCCTCTTAAAAGCACAATCGCATGCTGCTACCTTCTACGACAACGAGGGTGATCTATACGTCAATAAGTAGACAAGACTAAAATCTGTGCAATGTGGTTATAATTGATTGAGATGTCTGGGTGGAACTTGCATAAAGCAGCCGTGTCATCTGCAAAGAAAAGCACTTTTCTTCTCCCTGAAGAACAAACGTAACACTCTTGAAAAATAAATGGACATCGCCCTCATTTGTTATCCCACTTTGATCCCATCTTTTAGAGAAGTGTTTACAAGAATGCCGTGCCCCTTCCATCCAAGTAAAAGCTAGTCTCAATCACAAAAAAAAGTCATATTTCAAGCCAAGGAGCCGTGATTTTGACCCCTTTGTCTTTATAATCTTAAATGAAACGTCCCTGCGCTCGTTTTTTCACTGGCGGTGACTCAATTGAGAATTTTCTTTTCCTGTAAAATGTGATTTACTGTACACGTAACGTGCCTGACATCGTTTTTGTGCAGTGAATAAAGGAATTGATGGTTTATGCAGTTTACGTGGTGTTTATAGAGCGGGGAAAGAGCGTTTCTGGATTGTAAAAGGCACTTATTGTGTCATTCTACAACAACTCAAAAACCTCATCCATTCAAATACTAATTTTAACTTGCGATTCATGTTTGAATACTTCCCAGAACTGAGCTGAACTTGTTCATTTATGATGCGGGAGTGTTTTTAGTGTGTTTGACTATGTGGACAATTTTCTTGTCATTAGGTTTCTAGGTGACTAAATTTACTATGCCTTAAGCTTATATATAGCACGGTCAGAAATAATAGGTTCCTGGGGCACAAATGGCACCAAAAATGAGAAAAAAAAAATACCACCGAAAGTGAAAATTTAGGGCCAAAATTTTTTTTCCAATATTGTTTTTTTAATTTTTTTACATTTTAGGCCAATGTGTTTTTGCATAATGCAAAATATTGCATAAATGTGTTGTTGATTTTATAGGTGAAAATAATTATGCATATTGAGATTTTAATGAATTACAATTTATTGCAAACTATTGGCATGAAACAATGACATGTCAAAAGGTTTTTAAAATGACCAAATAAATTAAACTGTTTGAAAACTGTTTAGATTGCCTCTTGTAAATGTAAAAAAAAAATCCTGACACTAATATAGAGATCCAAAAATTTCCTTACCCTTTGGGTAACAGCTTTGCAAAGATCATGTTACCGTAAAACGTCTCTGATGTGTTCTGAAACCAGGTGTGACTAAGGTCGCGTTCTTTGCAGACGCTGACTCAGTCATATATATATTTGAAGACAAATGTGGCCTGCCTGCTTGCTTATTCATATTATCGGAATCATAATCTCATGCTGTTCCCTAAATCGGCAGTGCCCCCTTTTCGTCTTCCTCCTTCATCCAGCAAAGTCAAAGTTGTTCCCCATAAATTTAGGCTGAAATCAATATGATGTGTTTTTGAAAGGAAAACCGGGACTCTGACTCACTCTGTCTTGATTTGTCGCTGCAGAATTATACAGCTGGCCCGACTATTACACATTCTTCTCAGCCTATTTTCAAAATGCAATCCTTTTGGATTGAAACAGGTCTTTAGTATATGCAATGCATTACCTAAAACGGATTACCACAGACAGCGCTCTCAATCACTTTTTATCTTTTGCTGCTTAAAGAAAAAGAACAGTAATCAAAACCTTTCAACCTATTAGAGGGATGACTTTTACAATTGAATCACAGGGACCACAGGTGCGATAACGAGGCGGCTCGGCTCTATCCTTGAGTGTGCGTTTCCCCCATCTCCAGATGTTATTTCATGTTTATCTGTTCTTTAAAAGCACCACTTCAGAGCCCGCACTTCAAATTCATGCTATAATGGTGTTTGAGGAGGAGACCCTTTTTTAATTCTAGGTAAAGCAAGCTAAAGTGGCAGATCAAGGTGCATCTCGAAGGAAAGCGCAATGGAATCGATGGGATCGGCGCTGCACTTCCGACTACACGTGTTCTGATGATATTTAATTTTCTAGTGCATTAACACTCAGTCATTACAACATGCAGCCTAGGTGATTTGATCATAATGCATTTTCTTCTTTAAGAATCGCTGAAGTTTTTAGCCAGGTATTGTGCCGTTATTAGATACAGATGGGCACTTCAGCATTAAGTATAGATTTTCAGTCCCTGCTCACTTAAGGCTAGGAGTTTGTCTTAAAGAGGATAATGGCAAATTAAACTCCATACCCCATTTGTTCAGCAAACCTTGATGGGATAATTTTATAACTGCTGATTCACTCATTTCCTAGATTTATCTCTAAAGTGGTTTGGTGGTCTGGCCGCCATATACTTATTGGGAGGGGGAGGGCTATTTTATAAGTTCCTGTTGTTGGCTGATGATATACCATGGGGGAGTTGGAAATGTACAATAATTCAGCTGAGTCTTTCTCTCATTTCCAGTGAAGTTAATTTACTGATGACTTTCTATTATACTGATGAGCTCATTTCACGTTGCAAATGTAAGATGTCTTTGTTTTTTTTATCTCTTCGCAGATTGTCACGGCAGTCAGGTTTCTACAAAACCAGCAAGTTCGTCAAAGCCCCCTGGCAACCAGAAAAGCTTTCTTGAAGAAAAAAGGTGAGCATCATCAGTATGTTCCTGAACCTAATGTAAAACATTACATTTTTACATGCAGAATGGATAGAAGATGGCTCAATTCCAAGACTCTGACCTTAAATTTAACCAGCTGAATGCTTTTGTTATTCATTTCAAACATGAGTGGAATCAATTTAGTAAAGAAAGCCTTTTTTCAGTGTTAGATTAAAAAGAGTTTCCCTCAAAATTAAAATCTTTTACACATCCTTGCATCGTTCCACTCTCCACTGATTTTCTTTCTTCTGTAGAACTCAAACAGAGAAGCTTTGAAGAATGTTCATGCTGCTCTTTTTACTTTCATTTACAGTGAAAAGTAAATGAGGACTGATGCTGTTGAGCTCCAAAATTGACAAAAAAAGTGGCATAAATTAATCATAAAAGAAGTATGACTAATACGCTATATTTACTACATATGCGCTGAAGCCATGTTATAAGTTTATGTGACAAATTTAAATTATTCACTGAAAAGGTTGTTTGATATGGGCTTACATTTCTGCCACAATTCTGCGTGCGAAAGATCATATTTTGAGCGCACAAAAGTGCATTTTGCACGCGCGCGATCTGAGTTTGTGGAGAAAATGTTCGTTTCGCAAAGAAAAAAGTATTTCGAGCGCACGGAAATCAATTTTGCATTTAAAATACGTTTTTGGATGTATGCAGACCTTCTCTTTTGCCCGTGCAACGTTTCACTAGCTTGCTCACCTGATGCCCCCCCTCTGTGCTCGCTAAATGCCAACAGCTCGCGTGCTCAACACAACACAACTGCTAAATTCTGATTGGCTGCCTTGACAACCAATCACAACATTATGCATGCACTGTATTTGTCCTCTTATGCTGTCGAGGTAATGCAAGAAATGTTGTGATTGGTTGTCAAGGCAGCCAATCAGAATTTAGCAGCCTCGGTCTCTGATTGGCTGGAATTATGGCACATTGTAACGCTGGGTTGTGTTGAGCACGCGAGCTGTTGGCATTTAGCGAGCACAGAGGGGGGGCATCAGGTGAGCAAGCTAGTGAAACGTTGCACGCGCAAAAGAGAAGGTCTGCACACATCCAAAAACGTATTTTAAATGCAAAATTGATTTCCGTGCGCTCTAAATACTTTTTTCTTTGCGAAACGAACATTTTCTCCACAAACTCAGATCGCATGTGTGCAAAATGCACTTTTGTGCGCTCAAAATATGATCTTTCGCACGCAGAATTGTGGCAGAAATGTAAGCCCATAGTTTGACAGCCATGGTCACCATCTACTTTCATTGTGCGGTAAAGAGCAGCTTGTGCATTCTGCTGGATGTATTCCACAGGAGAAAGAACATCATAAAGGTTTCGGGAGAGTCAATAATGACACAACTGTCATTTTTTTTAGATGAACTGTCCCTTTAAAGACGGCTCAGCTTTAGAAACAGCATGTAGTCCAGTGGACTTTGGCCCAAGATTTTCATGGGATGAGATCATTTGCTTTTAAGGGTCAGAGGTCGAGGCCATTGTTGCATGCCCTGGAGGGTCAGGTAAGGGTCGATCGGGCTGCCGAGAGCTTGATCCCAGCTGTGTGGATAAATGACCTATCAGTTGGGACGCTTCTTTGGGATCCAGAAAATTAATATTGACAAACCCTCCTGCACTTTCAATGGAATTGTCAATTATGCTACCTCCCAGCATTTTAAAGCTTTTACTTAATTTAGCTGTTATCATAAATATTAAAGCACTGGAATGCATCGGAAAGTTTTATCGACCAGAGAAGTAACGTGTTGTGAGCATACATATGCATTCACTCTAAATTCAGAGCAGTTCAGGTATCAATCAATATGTGTGTTTGATGCATAACCCACCACTATCTCTCCTATATCACAAGCAAACCCCTTTCAGATCAGATCACCGGCCTGAATGTGTGCTGGATAGAAATCAATCCGTACGCTGTATTTTGATCTTTTTCGAAAGATTTTTTTCAAAACCCGGCACTGAAAATGACATTGTGATGTTTTAGTGAATCACTTTGGGGGCGGCAGTGATGGAAATCGAGAAGCACTGTGTAATCTGTCTCAATTTATGGCTTATTTGAGTGTTTTGCAAGCAGGTCTTAAAACTTTAAAATCAGTCACATAAAATGATGATCACTTCTGCACTGAAATGCATATCATTTTTAAGATAAAATATAGTCCTTCACAAAGGTCAGGTTAGTTTTATCTTGATTGCATTTAAGTTTAGCAAGGTCAGCATTGTCCTTTATAACGCGATAACTCATCTGTCTCTGCCCACTATTGATAATTATAAATCTTCGCACAGCCGTGCTTATCTGACATGACTTTTTTTCCTTTTAGCTCTTATTTAAAATGAAATTTGCTCTGTCGGGACTAATTAATGGTAAAGGCAGGTGGATTTGGCCTGCTATGGTGCTAGTAAAGGACAGCGAGTCTAATAGCTCCATGACTGGTGTAGGTAACTGAAGACAAAATCCATAGTTGCCGGCTGCTGTTTTTCACATCAGTGGCCTATTATGATGTCTCAATATCTTTAGCATTTTCCTCGGTCAGTACTTCTCGTTAGCAGTAGATCGGCTTCATTTATAATTCACAGCTGGGTTATGCGGCCTAATATGCTGTATGTTTCTGATGAAATGTGGTTCTTTTGAATATGAATGTGAAATTGTATCCAGTTCCGGGGATTTGCAGGTTTTGAGCGATATGCATCGTATTTGTGTTTTGTAGCAAGTGCGTTTGGAGGTTCAAATGGATTTCTCAAAGGGCTCTACTGGTACATAAAGTATTAATATGCCAGTGTGCCACTGTTTCATGATAAGTCAACCCCCCCATGCCAACTAAAAGTCAGTAGTGTTTAATGGGTCCTTGTAATCCACATGAATGCAACTGTTTCATTACGCTTCCTGAAAAAGATATATAATTCCCTCTCTCCAAATAAATAAAATATTATTTTGTTTTATATTATCAGCATAACAATTTGAGGAATAAAAAAATTTATTATTATTTGATGTTTCCTCCTTTTGCTTTAATGCCACTCGATGAATTTCACAAGTTCATGTAAATCCTGATGATCCTGTTTTCTCAGACTTTTGGACCCCAGTGTGTTTGTGCTATTTATAATTCATACATGCATATCTGTGCATAAGTATCTGTTTTGCATGTGTGTATAATGTATATTTAGTTTGACTTTGACCTCTCCAAACAGCAACAGCAGGTTGTAATGGGGAACACGGTGAACTCAGGACTATCATGGCAATGTGCCCCCAGGGTGTGTTTGAACATCAATAGATCTATAGCTGGAAGACTCGGCCTTGTGCTATTGCTATTCTAATTTGATGTTGTATTTTTCATGCGGACATTTGGAGATCCTTGAACGAGGACACTATTTCCAGGTCACTAGCCTTTTAATTACCGACCCTTGTAACCGAGAGGTTATTGATAGAACTCAAAGCACAAAGCTGTTTACAACCACAGCCGACGAGTTATCATCAACGCTTCAAGTTTCATTTCTTTCGTTTCCTCTGCTCGCTCATGCAATTTCGGGTGGGACGCAGCTGCTTACACCCCGAGGACGACTTTGCTGTGATATTGCCGCTTGTCACGTAGTTATGAAAATATGCTAAACATTGGAATAGACAACTATTCAATATCCTCAATGGACGCTCCCGATGGGGCGATCAGACCATCAATCAGACAGCTTAATTAAGCCAATATGATTTAGGAATGATTTGTGCGTACATACAGTTCATAATGTCTGTTGTTAAGGATGGGTTTTGGATTAAAGTCACAATGACCCTTTTGTTTTAATTGTGGATCGCAATCAGGAACCTTTTGTCAACATGCAAACAGTTTTTCGTTTTGCCTAGTCCCTCAAATGGCAGAGAAGTGTAGGCTTTAAAGTGAGCCGTCTGTAAATTTGCATGTGCTGGAAAATCGTCTTGTGTCAGCACGGAGCCGTTTCTACTGAGCCTCACCTTCAACAATGTAATTATGTCACAATGTTGTATCACTCTGAAAGCAACTCGTGCAATTTGAAGGGTAGGAGGGAGACTAATCTAGAAGCAAAGTGCTGAGTAATCTTAAGCCAATTTCTCCTTATTAAATTCCTCCTGAAATTTACCATTTTCCCAGTGCCCTGCTGAGCTCACAGAAGCAATTTTAACACACTGCTCTGTGTGTTGTTCCTGCAGTGTTTTCCGTGCCATTCCTGGAGTTTGCTCGAAAGTTTAATTTGATTAACATCGTTCATATTAAAGCGGGCCTTAAACACGCTAGCCAAAATGACGGATCAGTGGTTATGAAGGTGACCTTTAATTTTCACTGTTTATGTCTAGTACCTATTAATTAGGGATAGGGTTAAGCCAAGGTCATTGTAATAATTGCTAAATGCAGGAACAAATTCTTCAATAGCAATTGTTGATGTACTCGTCTTGATTAGGTTTAGCATTTAAATTTTGTCTGTAATCTATGCTGTAGTTTTTCATTAAACATTTGTGCTCTGTTTTATCTTACACTACTTTCTTTGCATTCCATATGCAAATACAGCTTTTGCCACTGATAAATGCTTTACATCAGTTTTTCCCAATGTTTTTTTTTTGTCTTGTGTACTGTACGTCATCAGCTCTATCAGTAAGCCTCAAGTACCCCTTCGTCAACCCCAAACCAGAAATGTGTTCCTTTTAACTCTGATTATACTGGATATAATTTAGCATTATCTTTAATATTATTAAAGTGGCATTATTACAATGAGTCACTTTTAAACTAAAAGCAATCAATACTGTGGGTGAAAAATAGACTCATCCAGTTGCTTCTACTCAAACTAAAGCAGTATGAGGAATATAGGCTAGAAGCTGTTATTTTATAACTGCATTTAGTTTGATATCGGTTGGTTTTATAGCTTGAGACGCTTGATGGGATGAAAATAGGAAAGAGTGGTATATTGTTGTGAAGTGTGAGATGAGTAAAGAGCATTGTTGCAGAAATTTATCCCCATCCACACAAATTGCC